TGTTCGTCATCAGAAAGAACGTTTCAAGATCTATCCTGAAGTATAAAGCTACAGTGATAAGATAATATCCACACACCTTCAAGGAAGACCAGTTAATCTGACTATTATTCAAATTTACACACCACCCACTAAGGCGAAAGATGAAGAAATTGAAGATTTTTACCAACTTCTGCAGTCTGAAATTGATCAACCATGCAATCAAGATGCATTAATAATTACTGGTGATTGGAATGTGAAAGTTGGAAACAAAGAAGAAGGAACAGTGATTGGAAAATATGGCCTCGGTGATAGAAACAATGACAGAGATCACATGCTAGAATTTTGCAAAACCAACAACTCCCTCATTGCAAATACTTTTTTCAGTGACATAAATGGTGACTATACATGTGGACCTTGCTGTGTGGAATACACAGGAATGAAATTGACTACATCTGTGGAAAGAGACAATGGAAGAGCTCAGTATCATTAGTCAGAACAGACTGTGGAACAGACCATCAATTGCTCATGTGCAAGTTCAAGTTGAAGCTGAAGAAAATTAGAACAAGTCCACAAGAGCCAAAGTACAACTTTGAGTATATTCCACCTAAATTTAGAGACCATCTCAAGAACAGATTTGACCCATTGAACACTAATGACTGAAGACCAGAGAAGTCGTGGCATGACATCAAAGGCATCATACATGAGGAAAGCAAGAGATCATTGAAAAGACAGGAAAGAAAGACAAGAACAACATGGGTAAGAAGAGACTCTGAAGCTTGCTGTTGAACGTAGAATAGCTAAAGCAAAAGGAAGAAATGATGAAGTAAGAGAGCTGAACAGAAGATTTCAAAAGGTGGCTTGAGAAGACAAAGTAAAGTATTATAATGAAATGTGCAAAGACCTGGAGTTGGAAAACCAAAAGGAAAGAACACGCTCATCACTTCTCAATCTGAAAGAACTGAAGAAAACATTAAAGCCTCTAGTTGCAATATTGAAGGATTCTATGGGGAAAATATTGAATGACTTAGGAAGTATCAAAAGAAGATGGAAGGAAGACACAGAGTCACTGTACCAAAAGAATTGGTCGATGTTCAACAATTTCAGGAGGTAGCATATGATCAAGGACCCATGGTACTGAAGGAAGAAGTCCAAGCTTCATTAAAGGCATTGGTGAAAAACAAGGCCCCAGGAATTAACATAATATCAATTGAGATGTTTCAATAAATAGATGCAGCACTGGAAGTGCTCACTCATCTATGCCAAGAAATTGGAAGACAGCTACCGGGCCAACCTACTATAAGAGATCTCTTTTTGCACCCATTCCAAAGAAAGGTGATCCAACAGAAAGCAGAAATTATCGAACAATATCATTAATATCACGTACAAGTAAAATTTTGCTGAAGATCATTAAAAAGCTGTTGTAGCAGTTCATTGACAGGGAACTGCCAGAAATTCAAGATGGATTCAGAAGAGAACAGGGAATAAGGAATATAATTGCCGATGTCAGATGGATCTTGGCTGAAAGCAGAGAATACCAGAAAGATGTTTACCTGTGTTTTATTGACTATGCAAAGGCATGTGTGGATCATAACAAATTATGGATAGCATTGCAAAGGATGTGAATTCCAGAATGTTTGTTGTGCTCATGAGGAAACTGTACATAGACCAAGAGGAAGTTGTTCGAACAGAACAAGGGGATATTGAGTGGTTTAATATCAGGAAGGTTGTGCGTCAGGGTTGTATCCATTTACCATACTTATTCAATCTGTATGCTGAGGAAATAATCCAAAAAGCTGCACTATATGAAGAAGAATGTGGCATCAGGATTAGAGGAAGACTCATTAACAACCTGCAATATGCTGATGACACAACCTTGCTTGCTGAAAGTGAAGAGGACTTGAAGCACTTACAGGTGAAGATCAGAGACCACAGCCTTCAGTATGGATTACACCTCAATATAAAGAAAACAAAAATCCTCACAACTAGACCAAAAAGCACAGTCACAGTAAATGGAGAAAAGATTGAAGTTGTCAAGGATTTCATTTTACTTGTATCCACAATCAGTGCCCGTGGAAGCAGTAGTGAAGAATTGCATTGGGCAAATCTGCTGTAAAAGACCTCTTCAAAGTTTAAAAAAAACAAAAATGTCACTTTGAGGACTAAGGTAGGCCTGACCCAAGCCATAGTGTTTTTAATCACCTCATATGCATGTGAAAGCTGGACAATGAATAAGGAAGACCGAGAGGAATCGATGCCTTTGTATTGTGGTATTGGCAAAGAATATCGAATATACCATGGACTGCCAAAAGAATGAACATAACTGACTTGGAAGACGTACAGCCAGAATGCTTCTAAGAAGCAAGGATGGCGAGACTTCATCTCCTGTATTTTGGACATGTTATTAAAAGGGACGAGTCCCTATAGAAGGGCGTTATGCTTGGTAAAGTAGCAGGTCAGGGAAACAGAGGAAGACCTTCAATGTGATGGATTGATACAGTGGCTGCAAAGATGGGCTGAAACATAGCAATGATTGTGAGGATGGCACAGGACTGGGCATTGATTAGTTCTGTTGTACGTAGTGTTGCTATGAGTCATTACTGACTCGACGCCACCTAAAAACATCAACTTACTAATATGTGTATGTACTAATGAATACACAGTGTTCATATACTATACATACTAATATATATACTATATACTTACTAATATTACCTTACTACAAATGATATTGAGTATCTTTTTATGTTTCCTGGCCATTTCGTTTAGCAGTGTGCTTTAAATTTCCAAGGTTTCTAGTTATTTCTGTTATTGATTTTTAACTTAATTTTATTTTAGTCTCCAAGGGGTGTTTATTTCCCTCAGAGTAAAAGGCAAAGGCCTTACTAAGAAGCTGTTGGTCTGGAAGGTTCTGTGTGATGTGAAGCCTGTTGTTGCTGTGAACTCATCTCTTGTTACTCCTCTTGCTTATTCAGTCTCAGCCACACTGGCCTTCTGGGTGTTCCTCAAACACTTCAAGCATACTTTCATCTTAGGACTTTTGTTTTGTGTATTAAGGAAAATACTCATGACCCCATCAATACGAGCCATGGAGCATCGGATGCATTTCTCACAAAAGGTAGCCAGTGAAGCATGAAACAAGGGAACAAACGAAAGCCTAATTTACATAGCTATGTGACCTTTTGCACTTTTTTTGACCTTTTTGTTTACTATAAGCAATCCTAAACCACCTACACCGTGCCAATAGCATTACATAGCTAAAGATTCTTCTCCTAGAAAATATCATTAATCTATTTGCCAGGAGTACTGGTTAACAACATGTTTATAACATTAACCCTGGTCACCTGCTGTATTAATTACCTAGGATTACATAAAAAGTACCACAGGTTGGGTGGTTTATGAGAACAGAAATTTATTGTCTCACAGCTCTGGAGGTTAGGAGTCTGAAATCAGGGTATCAGCCGTGTTGATTCCTTCTGAGGACTCTGAGGGAGAATCAGTTCCTTGTCTCTCTCCTGACTTCTGATGATGGCCGGCGATCCTTGGGTTCCTTGGCTTGTAGATGTTTCACTCCGAATCTCTGCCTCCATCTTCACGTGGTCACCTTCGCTCTGTGTTTCTGTTTCTGTGTATCTTCTCCTATGTTATAAAGATACCACCCATATTTGGTTAGTACTCACCTTATATCTGTATGGCCTCATATTAACTTAACTGATAACATCTTCAAAGACACTATTTCTAAACAAGGTTATGCTTACAGATACTGGGGGTTAGAACTTCAGTGTATCTTTTTGGGGGAAACAATTCAATCCATAACACCTGCCATCTTTTTTTCCTGGGAATCTTTTTTCTGACCTACCACTGGTCAGAATTGGCTCAATGGCAACAAACAACAATGGCAGAGAAGGGAAACTTAAATGCCAGCTGATCTAGTGCATTCCTCCAAATCTCTCTTCTAGGCTTGTGATTATCTCTTAAACACAATGGCTATTCTTTTTGAACTGCACCAAAAATAAATAAATAAATAAAAGTGAGTTCTCATGTTTTCTTTCAGCTCTCCTGTCAAGAAATCTTTTGTCTTGCAAGGAAGGGGAGACTCCAAGTGGGGACGTTTCCTTTTTCCCATCACTTCTTCGTGTCGTTAACTCCTGTTCTTTTAGTTTGATGGATTCTGGTGGTATTTTTCAGAACTTCTTCTAATTGCTTTCTTCAACATTGCTTTACTCTTTGGGAAGAATAGGAGTGGGACAACTCACATTCTTTTGGTTTATTTCTGTTGCTGATATTTTGCCTTAAAGTCTGCACTATAACATTGGGACAACGCTCTAATTTTAGAGTTTATAAAAAACTATTTTTCTAACTTTACTTCTTTCTATTCCTCTCCTATTTTTCTCCTTCTCTCTCTTTTTTACTATTGTGGAGAGAGAAGTGATACCTGGGAGAGTAGAGAGACTAGTAATCTCAGATTTATACTGCTTTCTTTCCCAGAAATCTTCGTCATTTCTAAATATCTTTTAATAATGTTTTTAATTTAGTAACACTTCAGAAATATTTTAAGCATCTGGAGGTAAATTCATGAATATAAATTCATGAATATAAATTCTTGAAGACAGTTGTCTCCTGCAGGTGCCATTCTAAATTATTTATTTTCTGTTTCCCATAATGTGTAAATATTATTGTCAGTGGCTATAATGCATACCTTTATGCATGTGTGTTTACAGAATATATAATGCATCTGTTTCTATTTCTATTTCTCCTCTAAAAGAATTAGTTGCTTTAAAAAACCTTGTGAATGATAAGATCCTTTCATTTCAAGGGATTATTGGGGGAGGTATCTATAGCATTATTTAATAAATGGTTAATATTTAACTCTTGTGCATTCTTTAAACCTGAAACTGAAGATTATATAGGTAAATATCAAAGTGCATATGCCTCAAAAAAGGTGAGTTCTATATCTTGAGAGAATATAAAATAATTTATAGACTAGGTTACATTGATTATGCACATTGCATTTATTTTTGTAGACTCAATGGAAGCATGTGAAGTACAGACTAATCTGAAAATTTGGAGTGAACCACTTGAGATTGAATTTAAAGAAGACAGTCTGTCCTATATGGAAAAGTTATGGCTTAAAAAACACAGGAGGTATTATCTAAAATTTTACAACATTAATAAGAAACATAAAAACTATTTATATTCCTTACTGTGTGATATGCCATTCTGTAGCAATTTTATATGTATGCTTCCTATTTGCATAAATAATTTTAAAGCAATATTAAATGCCTTTGAAGCTTCTACTGTTCTAATAAGAATTTTAATTCAACTTATGAATATGATCCATCATTAATTTAGGGTTTGCCTTGAGAAATGAAAATGTATATATGGGAAAAACACACAAGTGTGGTAGAGAATTTAAGAATAACAGCAAAAATAGTGTGATAAATTGCAGATGACTTTTAAGAATTCCTATCATATTTCTTACAGTAGCATAAACCTTTAAGGCTACACTTATCAGAATCTACTTTTAAGTTAATTAAACCTTTGATTTTATAGTTTTATTAATAGTAATCAAATGTATTTTATTCAAAGACTGTATCATTAGATGCACCATTTCATAAATTATTTAAAGTATTAAACTAATAAGTATTACAGTAATTCATAATTTTACTATTATATAAGAACCATAGAATTTCAGACTTGGAAAGTACCGTTAAAGGCCTCCAACCCAATTTGCTCCACAACAGTGCTTCATCATACCTACAAATCACCTGGAAACTGTGGTAAAATACAGATTCTTCTTCAGTAGGTCTAGGGTAGGGCCTAGATTCTGCATTTCTCTCAGCTCCTAGGTGAGGCTGAGGTTGATGTTGCTAATCTCTGGACTACATTTTCAGGAGTAAGATGACGAAGGACCTCTCTAGGATGTTCCTGGGAAGTGGCCATCAAGCCCTTGCTGCACTGTCAGTTATACAAAACCATCTCCTGAGGCAGCCCATTCCATCTTTGGAGAATTTTGCTTGATAAAATATGCCTAGTAAGCTGTAACATGTTTCTAGCTAGTCTTGAAAACTTGGTCTTAATTCTACTCATTAAGTCCATACAGAGCTAATCTAATTTTTTTCCTCTCTATGGTACCCCTTCAGATTTTTTAATTCAGGCCTCTTGTCTCCCTTGAGACTTCTGTTTGAAAGGTTAATATTCTCCTTCCCCTTTCAACTGTTTTTCATGTGTCATAATTTTTTAAACATTCTACTTTGAAATAAGAGAAACAGAGGAGTTGCAAAAACAGTACAGAAAATTTCTGTGTACTGTCAGCTCAGCTTTCCCTAGTGTTAACATCTTGTATAACCATGGCACATTTATTGAAACTAAGAATTCACACTGGTACAATACTATTGTCTGAACTACTGACTTTATTTGGATTTCACCAGTTTTTCCACTAATGTCCTAATTCTGTTCCAGTATCCAATCCAAGATCCCACATTACATTTTGTTGTCATGCCTATTTAGCCTCTTCCAGTCCTTTCCTTGTTTTCATGACCTTGACACAAAGAGTACTTTACATGTATTTCATAGAATGTCCCTCAGTTTGGGTCTGTCTAATGTTTTTGTCATGATTAGATTGAGGTTAAATGGTTTGAGGATGAAACCATAGAGATGATGTGCTCTTCTCAGTGCATGATATCATAGGATCATCATGTCAATAGATCTTGTAACTGGTGATGTTATCCTTGAATCACATGGTTAAGGTGGTGTTTACCAAGTTCCTCTGTTGCAAAATCAGTTTTCCCTTTGTAATTAATATTTAAAGGAGACACTTTGAGACTATGAAAATATTATTTTTCCTTAAACTTTCACCTACTAATTTTAGCATTTTCTCTGCTCCAGACCTGGAATCACTTCTCCAAGGAACTCTGCTTCATTTTATTCTGAATGGTATTCAGAAACCAATATAGGGTCTCTAAGCGTACTCATAGCTACTAAGGTATCACAACTTCCAGGCCTTCTCAGAGGACAAAGCTAGGAAATATCTGTGTATATACACTAACTCATTTATACACATACACATACAGCTAAATTTATTTCTGTACTCATCTATCTGGATACCTATTAAAGTAAACCTGAGTTCACACACCTCTGACTCCAAACCAGCATCACAGGGTTCATTTATCTTTCTCCCTTTGCTTGTTGTATAATTTCTTTCAACTATAATGAGAAACCTGGCTCTCATTATACATAATATATTTATTAATTTGTTAAATCCTAGTATACATGTAAAGTAGTTTCAGAATTGCTAACTCATATCCCTGAGAAGAACAAATTTACCAACGACAGTAGACTGTTTTTTGAGCTGTGCTTTTTGTGTTTAGCCTAAAGAATCTAGTCAGAGGCCTGTTCTCCAGTTACTTAGACCAGCTTATATCTTTCCCACCTCCTTCAATGTGGTTATGCCATTTGTGGGATTCCCCTCATATCATAGTTGGGTTTTTTTATTTGCATAGATTAAAATTGTGATGTATAGTTCTGTGAGTTTTTACAAATGCATAGAATCATCTAACCACCACAGTACTAAAAAGAAAAATTCCACCCCCAAAATACACTTGTACTCTGTCTTTGTGGTCACTCCCTCTTCATTTCTGCAACCCCTGACAACCACGGATCTATTTTCTATCCTTATAAATTTGCTTTTTCCTGAATGTCATGTAAGTGAAATCATATGGAGCCTTTTGCGACTGCTTTCTTTACTTAGCAAAATGTATTTAAGATTCATCTATGTTGTTGCATGGATCAATTAGTTTGTTCCTTTTTTTTTTTTGGCTGAATAGCATTCCATCATCTTGATGTACCACAGTTTATTTATCCATTTATCTGTTGAAGCACATCCTGATGGTTTCCAGCTTTTGGCAATTATGACTAAAGTGGCTATAAACATTTTCAGTTTGGTAAATACCTGGGAGTGGGATTGTTGGGTCATATGGTAAGTGTTTAACTTTATGAGAAACTGCCAAACTGCCAAATGTTTTTCAAACTGGCATTATCTCCAGGAATATATGCCTCCACAAAAACACCTTCACATTCATATTGTGGGAGCAAATTTTATCACCCTACTGGTTTGGTGGAAATTTTAAAAATATCCTCCGCTTCTGTTACTACTCATCGATATAAAGCTTAGGCTGTGAGAGCCAACACATATTCATAGGTTAGCTTTTAAAATAGTGTAGTATGTTTTGTGGATTCTATGTAGCTTTAGAGAGCTTGGGTGGTGTGAAAGGTTATGCACTCGGCTACTAACTCACCCATCGGTGCTTTGGAAAAAAGACCTGGTGATCTACTTATGAAAAATCAGCCACTGAAAACCTTATGTAGCGTAAGCAGCAAAAGCCAAAATAAATCAATGGGACCTCATAAAAAAAACTTTTGTTCATCAAAAGAACTTACCAAAAAAGGTGAAAATACAAGCTATTAACTGAGAGAATATCTTTGGAAACCATATACTTGATAAGAATCTAATCAATATATATAATAAAACTTCAACAACTTAACAACAAAAAGACAACCCAGTCATAGAATGGGCAAAGGTCTTGACTAGACATTTCACCAAAGAGGCATTCAGATGGCCACCAAACTCATGAAAAGATGCTAAATATCATTAGCCAGCAGAGAGATGCAAATCAAAACTACAGTCAAATACCATTTTACTCCCATTATGATGGATAAGATTAAAAAAAAGAACAAAGAAAATAACAAATATTGGCAAGGATATGAGGAAATCGGAACTCTTATCCATTGCTGGTGGGCATGCAAAATGGAACAGCTGTTGTGGAAAACAGTGTAGCAGTTACTCAGAAAAGTAAAAATAGAATTAACATATGACCCAGCAATTCCATTCTAGCTATTTACACAAAAGACTTGAAAGCAGAGACTCAGATACACGTACACTAATCTTCATCGCAGCACTATTCACAATAGCCAAAAGGTGGAAACAACCTAAATGCCCATCAACAGATGAATGGATGAACAAAATGTAGTACAGTGGAATGCTACTCAGTAAGAAAGAAAGTCTTAATATATGCTACCATATAGATGGAGCATGGAATATTATGTTTAGCGAAATAAGCCAGTCACAGAAGGACAAATATTGTGTGACTTCACTTATATAAAAAGACAAGAACAGGCAAATGTATAGAGACCAAAGTTTATTAGTGGTTACTAGGGGTGGGAGGGAGGAGGATATGAGGAAGGATTATTGCTTGTGGAGTACTGACTTTCCCTTTATGGAAAAATCACATTCAGGGTAGGGTTGCACAGCCAATTAATGCAATTGCTGTCAATAAGTTGTACACCTGGGAAATCTTGAATTGGTAAAAGTTGTGTGATAGTATATTTATAATAACCAAAAAAAAAAAAAAAAGCGACTTCTGAGGCTGTTTACAAACAACCAAACACCTTATGGGATTTGGTTCCTTAGTTTGGAGGTTTAGGGTCATGTTTTCATGGAACATCCCAGCTAATTAGCCTAATATTGTGTTTAGTGCTTATGTTCTACCTCCTAGTTCCTGGCGTAGTGCCTGGGACCTTAAAAGCTTGCAAATGGCCATCCAAGTTATGACATTTGGTCGCTATTTGGCTGGAGCAACAGAGGAAGAAGGAGAGTCAGGAATAGAAGGAGTAAATGAGATGTGTGGCTAATTGCTTCCATGAACAGCTGCCTCCTTTGCCGTGAGACCAGAAGAACTGCATGGTGCCTGGCTACCACTACTGAACAGTTTGATCAAAGATTCTATAGAGAAATCCAGATTAAAAGGGGGAAATGCAAAACAGAATTTTAAATTCTCATGGAATTCAGATTTTCTGGAGCCATGGGGGCTGGATGATCCTCTGAAACTATTTCCCTGACAACAGCAGCTGGAAAGATTAGATAGGAAATTTAGGGGGCAGTGAGTTTATGTTAATGGTGGAGGAACAACTTGGAAAAGGAGGGTGAGAATGGTTGCACAACTCGGAGAATGTAGTCACTGTTTCTGAATTGTACATACAGAAATTGTAGAGTTGGTGTATGTTCTGCTGTGTATAACAACAACAAAAGTAAAATATTAAAAAAAAACTCACAAGCACAGTTCTATTCTCACACACATGGGGTCTCCATGAGTCAGAATCGACTCCATGGCAACTGGTACTGGTATTATAATTGATTTTCCTCTTGAAAAAATACAATAAGGTATACAATTTAAAAAATCATATATGATGTCAATTTGATTTACAAAGTTATTTTAGTCAATTAAAATTTTATTGTACAATCATACTTTTTTTTTAATTAAAGGTACAGCTGTGTTTTCGTCATTAACTGTCTATACTCCTTTGTGAAATCAAGATCTTCTTTGGGGATGTTTCAGATAATGTATTTTAGTCTTCTAATTTTTTTTTTTTTTTTAGAACTCTACAAGATGAACTTCTTAACACGCAACCAAATGAATCCATACTTTCTTGTAAAACCACTCATGAGACACAGTTTTCTCCAAATGGAAGCGAAGAAGAAAGTGATGGTTAGTTCAGCCTTGATTATATATTTTCAAATTTATTATTTCAAATTAAATACACCAAAAATTCCCCAGCAACTGCTTTTGGTTTTCTCTAATGTGTCATTCTCAGACTATTTAGCCCTTGATCTGCAGATCAAAATCATATATACTCTCTTCTTTCCATTCCCTAGATTTTACTTTAATTAAAATGGTTTCATTTAAAAGTTGAATCCTAATTCAGCTTGATCTGGGAAATTGAAAGTTTTTATATCTTTGCATGGCTACACAGCATATTGTTGGTTATGCTGCTTTAAAGAAATGATATTATTAGGTAAGATATATTCTTTGATATTATTTTCTAATCTTAGTTCTAGTTGAAGAGATGGAAGTGCAATGCCCAGAGCCTCTTCTGCCAGGAGAAGAATTAAAAATAGAGAGACCTGAACCATCTCTAAAGATAGTAGAACTGGATGATGTAAGTGCATAATGATCACCCACATTACTGAACCAACAGGAATTTAATAGTGTATAGTTTCAACAACATTATTTTCAAAAATGTTTCTTTCATAATTCTACATAGTTTAATGGGAAGTTTACAAGTGTTTGTATTTAAACATACTCATAGAAATAAAATAGAGTATTGTTTTTTTAAGTAGAGAGTAAATTTGTTAGCTGAAATGATGTTTTGCCATATGGGAGGTGAGAAGACATTTTATTATTTTGACTTGTAGAAATGTAATTTGATATTTGTTAAATTTAGTTCTTTATGTTATCAGACTTTTAAACTAAAGTTAGTGTCATTGTATGGTGTCTATTTAGTTTCGTGAATGTTGTTTAAAATTATTTTCTATTCAAAGGAAAAAATGGTATTTGAGATTTAAGAGACTTAGTTATAATGGAGGAGCCCTAGTGGCACAGTGGTTAAGAGCTTGGCTGCCAACCAAAAGGTTAGCAGTTTGAATCCACCAGCCACTCCTTGGAAACCCTATGGGGCAGTTCTACTCTGTCCTATAGAGTCACTATGAGTCAGAATCGACTCATTGACAGCGGGAGTATAATAATATAATAATAATAAATTGAATACAGCTGTATTACTTATCTTACACTAAGTAGAATCAGCTAGCTAGAGCCGGTTTAAGGTACGACATACTCAATGCATTTCTGACTTCCTAGTCATCTAGTAACCCAATATACCTCTTGTCCTAGAAATTTTTCTTACTTTGGTTGGAACAGACATTGACTAGACTGGAAGAAGTACCTCTTGTTTAGGTCGATGCCTTCTACTTTTTTTTTCTTTTCAGGAGGGATATTAGCAACTTATTTTTTTTTTAATTTATTTTGTTGTTGTTGTTGAGAATATACATGGCAAAACATACACCAATTCAACAGTTTCTACATGTACAATTCAGTGTCATTGACTACAATCTTTGAGTTGTGCAACCATTCTCACCCTCCTTTTCTGAGTAGTTTCTCACCCATTAACATAAACTCCCCGCCTCCAAGGTTACTATCTAATCTTGCAAGTTGCTATTATCAATTTGATCCCTTGTAGATAGATCTTGAAAGAGCACAATGCTCAAGGCAGACATTCTTTACTAGTTAAGCTAAGTTATTGCCTGGTTTTAAGAGATTTCAGGGGATATTTTGTTTTAAGATTTAAAGATTATCTCAGGGAAACTTCTTTATTTCTTCTTTGGCTAAATTTGATCTATTGGACAAGTAAATATACATATACACATTCATATACATCTGTGTGTGCACACTGTATTCGTAAAATTATTGATATATATAGTAAACTTATGCCAGTCAGAGAATTAAAAACATCTTAATCACTGATCTACTTGGCACTTAGTAGGTGCATAATAAAATATAAGTTGTTATTGTTGTGTCCTGGCATGATAGTAGTAATAAAGTGACTAACATAGCAAATATCCTCAATAAATGCTGAATTTGTTGAATTCTCATAGAACTCATGTTTTATGACATGTAGCTAGAGAACTCATGAAATCATTTATAGTAAGTAAATGCACAAAGTAACATCCTCAAGTTATCTGTATAGTAAATTTATTGAACATGCTAATATTATACAACATATTTTAATAAGACTTATGAAGAGGAATCTGAAGAACCAGGAAATGTCGTGCCTTACAAAGTTGAATTACCTGATGCAGACAGGAAACAAAGGTAAGATCTTTCTAATTCACTTTGGATGCTGTCTTAGTCATCAAGTGCTACTGTAACAGAAATACCATAAGTAGATGGCTTTAATAAACAGAAGTCTATTCTCTCACAGTCTAGTAGGCTAGAAGTCCAAATTCAGGGCATCGGCCCCAGGGAAAGCCTTTCTCTTGTCGGCTCTGGAGGAAGGTCCTTGTCATCAATCTTTCCCTGGGCTAGGAGCTTCCCTGTGCAGGAACCCTGGGTCTGAAGGATGCGCTTTGCTCCCTGTGCTGCTTTCTTAGTGGTATGAAGTCCTCCTGTCTCTCTGCTCACTTCTCTCTTTTATATCTCAAAAGAGATTGGCTCAAGACACAATCCAATCTTGTAGATTGAGTACTGCCTCCTTTACATAATAAAACAAAACCCATTGCTGTTAAGTCTATTCAGACTATAGGACAGAGTAGAACTTCCCCATACAGTTTCCAAGGAGCACCTGGTGGATTCGAACTGCCAACCTTTTGGTTAGCAGCCATAGCTCTTAACCACTACGCCACAGGATTTCCATTAACATCATAGAGGTAGGATTTACAACACGTAGGAAAATCACATCATATGACAAAATGGTGAACAATCACACAATACTGAGAATCATGGCCCAGCCAAATTGATACACATATTTTTGGGGGATACAATTCAATCCATGACAGATGCTTATTAAAAACCCACAAAAAATTCTCTCTCTAAATGAGAAATTCATGTTGTTAAAAATTTGTAACTTCACTGTTAGAGTATATTTAATTTAAGCCAGGGTTTAATTTATGTACAGTATAGCTAATATTTGTCAATATCCAGCAATTAGAAAATTATCTATAATGAAATGTTTGTCCTTTTACCTAATATTTGGATTACTTAATAGATACTTCTACATTTAGGAATTGCAGTTATTTGAAATGTTGGCAAATTCTGATGTATTTCACAAGCTTTCTCCTTTTATCCAAAGATACTTTTTGAATTTGCCTCACTTAGTTTGCTATGAATGCTAAATAAAGACAGTTATATAAATGATTAGATTGAGAGGCACAAAGAGCTCCTGAACTATAAATTATTTCCTAGGTAGACTTTTCTGGGTGATAAATTAAATAAATGAAGTATAATGATTTACTTTATAACTGTTAGAATTTTTTCATTTTTAAATGAAAAATAATATCTGACTGTATCTGCTAGTAATGTTAAAAATTACTCCAAGTTCCCAATTCTTATTTAGAGTAAATATTACTCCAAATTTTTGTTGAAATTTTAGTTAGAATCACAGGTGTTTTGATCACAAAGCATTAACTTGGGTAACTAGGGGAATGAAGTTCCTACTAAGTAGCTTCTATATTAATTCTTTGTTTATATGTTCAGATCAACTTATGTGTCCTTGCCAGTATCTTGGAACAACAATGAGCCTAAATGGAGCCCTGGTGGCACAGTGGTTAAAGTGCTCAGCTGCTAACTGAAAGGTTGGTGGTTTGAAACCACCAGCTGCTCCATGGGAGAAAGATATGGTACTCTGTAAAGATTTACAGCCTTGGAAACTCTATGCGGCAGTTCTATATGTCCTATAGGGTCACTGTGAGTCGGAATTGACTCAACGGCAATGGGAATAGCCTAAGTAATACTCTTGGACCCAAAGAAACCCCCGTGTTTGGATACATAGACCCAGATATCTTGCAGCAATTATGCTTTAGGCAGCTGAATTTTGGCAGGAGACAATCTTCTGATCAACAGATAAGAGGTTTCTAGCCATTATTATGTCCTCAAGGAAATGAGTAGCATTTCTGCTCTGTAATTTAATTCTTCTGTATATCTTATTATGTCTTTGCTTTGACGACCCCATGTACAGTGTTAGAAAAAATCACTGATTGTGGTTTGACAGTAGCTTTACAACATAGGTTTGGAAGTGCCACATGAACTTTATCTCCCTCCTAACTAAGTGACACAAGACAGCCTTTTTGGTTAAATATAATCCATGAAATTTTATGATGGTACTATGTAGAGCTTACATAAATATCATGCATTATTAAGAATATTATTCACTTTATAGAAAATGTTATTTAAATTGTAACTATGCTTACAGGTTGTAATAATCATTAAAAGTTGAAACCTTAATACTACATACTGCTTTTTAATTCTTATAGTTCATTGATGAACAAATAATATGTTCATATAGTAGTAAAGGAGCCCTGGTGGCGCAGTGGTTAAGATCTTGGCTGCTAACCAAAAGGTTGGTAGTTTGAATGCATCAGCTGCTCCTTGGAAACCCTCTGGGGCAGTTCTACTCTGTCCTATAGGGTTGCTATGAGTCAGAATCGAGTCAGCGGCAATGGATTTGGGTCTGTTTTTTTTTTGGTTTATAGTAGTAAAACCTTGATTTCATCAGATATCAATGAGCTTGAAAGAGAACTTTCCATTTTTAGAAGAATATAAGAAACAACTTGTTTCAGGATGGTTTAAAAAATAAACTTTCAATTGAAATATTGCAGTTAAATCAGTTGCTTATTCCTTTTGCATTCATAGTGTTAGATAGTTGTTCATAGTTTAGGATGCGATCTTAGTAAGGTTAAAACAAATAGTAACTTAATATGAATAACCCTATTCTGTTTAGGCTTTACTTATATTTGTTTTAATAACTGGGATTTTTTTTTTTTTTACTGTTTTTAATCATTTCTTTCAACTCTGTTTCTTTGCTTGTTCCTAAATATGAAAGTTGGACATTTCATGATTATCAAGAGAATAATTTTCCATATGAAAATGACGCCCATCAACATTATGTTTTCACTAAGGGAAAAACAGACCTCTTAAAGTTTTGTTTGACCAACAGCTCTTCATATTATAAAGATAACTCAAAAGGTAAATTTTTCTTATTTATTAATATTATTAACAATGAATGTTAGTAATTTAATAAAACCAAGAGTTATTCTTACAGTCTATAAGCGCTTTGCCTACTATGCTGTTCATTTTAAAACCAGAAGATTATTAATTGGGAGAAAATTGGTTGAAAATACATAATTTTCTAACAAATCCTCTTTTTAAATCAGTAAACAGCTCTGTTTGTATTCAGAAGAAAGTGTAGCCAATATAAGTCTCTCTAAAAGTTATTATGGACTTGAGCTCGCAATTAAGAGATCACATGGAAGAACTTAAAGTGACAAAAGTCTGACTGACATTTGTTGCCCTCACTTGCATTGAACCTTTTACAAAAATATTGAAATAAGATGCAAAGTTTCACATTAGGAGTAAAAGCAAAAGAAAACCAAACCTTTTGTTGATATTTCTATGTTTTTACTGCTCATAGTTTCCATGGGATCTATAGATTAGAATGCTTTATGGAAACATCTGGTTTCAATTCCCAGTTGGGGAGATCATTATATAAAGACAGTTACAGCAGAGTGTCTTGGCTTGAGAGTCCAATTTTGGTTTCTGCCATTAAATCACTGTGTGAACTTGATCATGTCCTTTACTTTTTAGAGCTCATTTTCCTAAGCTAAAATGTAGGAACTAGATTGTTTCCAAGCTTCTTCTCAAATATTATACTTGAGGATCTACCTAGGATTTTAAGAAAAACATCAATAAACATATCTTATGTGAAGGATTTGAGAGATGCTAGAGAGCATTTTTTAAAATAACTAGTTACAAAACTGATGATCACCTTCTGATTGGATAGCAGAAGGTAGAGGACAGCAATAGATTTGTGGCAGTCCTGCCAGTCTTGCCATTTTTAATGGTTAAGCCACTAAATCATTAATGGCACCTATGAACTATACTGGAGCCCTGGTGGCACAGTGGTTAAAAGCTTGGCTGCTAACCAAAAGGACAGCAGTTTGAATCCACCATCTGCTCCTTGGAAACCCTCTGGAGCAGTTCTGCTCTGTCCTATAGGGAGTCAACAGCAATAAGTTTGGTTTTTTGGTTTTATGAACTATACCAACATGAGAATTCAGGACTTTGCAGGGCTCCAGATCGGATTCAGAAGTGAGCATTATCTGACCAACCTGGAGCATGGTACTTCAATTGCTTTTGGGAAAATGGTGAACATACATACCCATGAGTGTTACTTTAAAGACACCTAATTTTTTTTTTTTTACTTAACTGGGCTTCCAATGAATACACTAAATTAAATCAGACTTATACTTTCTGCATTACATTTTTAACATTATTAAAAGACTGTTTTAATTGTCACTCTTTCACCAGCAATAGATCCCAGAAGTAGAATGTTATAGTCTTGCCAAAATACTCTAGAGGTTATTTGTAGGCATTTTTAAATGCAGGAAATAGCTTCTGTTTTTTACCAAAATATTAATTTCTTAGCAGGCTTAGGAGAGAAGTACAGCATTATTGTGGAAGTTTTATTAAATTGAATAGCCTTTATAACATTTTTATTATAAGAGTATTTATCTGACATATTTACGTTATTTCATTTCTCATAATATTTGTATTTAAAAAGTGACAGTAGTTGGAAATACAAGTTCTAAATACTATTTGTAATTGCTGAGGTATATGAAAGATTTGATGGCAACCTTTGGGTCGTAAGACAGAGTTTGCATCACTGGAGATTATTTTCATCATGTTGTTGTTGTGTGCCTTGAGTCGATTCTGAATCAAAGGACCCTATATAGAGTTCCCTAAGCAGTAATCTTTACAGGAGCCGATCACCACGTCCTTTCTCCCATGGAGCCACTGGTGGGTTCTAACCGGTAACCCCTTGGTTAGCAGCCAAGCTCTTAACCATTGTGCAACTAGGGCTCCTTATCTTCACCACAGCCTCTACTATTTTATGCACTCTATTTATAGAGACAATATATTTTCATTGGAAAGAGAATAAGAGATAGTTAGATTAAGCTGCATTAAATCCAGATAATGACATACGTACTTTTATTTAAGGTGAAAGCAGTATGTTAAAATAATTCTTATAGAATTTTCAGTCTAGAAAATCTAGACCAGTGTTTCACACCCCTGGCTGCACATTTTAATCACCTGAAGAACTTAGTGAAAAAAAAAAGAAAAAAAAGCCCGATTCTGGCTCCCAGAGTCTGACTTAATTGATTTGGGGCCAGGCACATACACTGACAGTCTTAAACAGCTCCTTTAGACGATTCCATTGTGCAGCCAGGTTGAAAACCAGTGATCTAAACCAAGTGAGTTATTTAAAATAGGCATAATGAGGTGGGTGACTAAGAAAATCTGGCTCATTTTGTAGCTTTTCAGAGGCAGGTGTCCCAGCTTACACATTTTCTGTGCCTCTTACTGCTGCTGCACTTTCATCTGGCAGATTTCCCTTTGCCCTGTCCTCATCACTAGGCTGGCAGGCTGAGGGAGAGAGGTAAATGTGGCACTGAGGTTCCCTTTGCGTTACTTGTCCTGAATTAGTGTTGTAAAATCTGAGTGGGAGAGAGAGAGGGGAAGTGGGAATTGAACCAGAGGGTGAAATAAAATTTGCATCTATTTCAAGATTTCCTTGCAAGATAAAATCTTGCCTCCCTCCATTAAGTAGTCTACCTCATGAAAGTTTGGCTGTATAAGTAAATATGATTATCATGTATGACTGTAAGAGGAAGAAAAGTATTTTAACACTGAGATACCCATAAAGAAATTTTGATAAAATAGTATTTATTCATAGTATTACAACACAGACCCTTAGGTTTATAAACTGTTTATCTATTTACATGTTTAAATATATTTATTTACCTTTTGTAAATGTGTGTTTTCGACAGCAGGAACTTCAAATACAGATTTTGACAACATTGCTCATCCTGATGTTTATTCTCCTGCCATTGAAAAGATAGAGGAAAACAGCTCTTGTGAAAAAAATTTAACAGAGGAAAGTATAGATATAGAAAGTAACCAAAAGTCTGCTGATTCTTGCACACCATTTGAGAGCAAGAATTCTTTGCCAAGTACAGATTTAGAAGAACCTTTCTTTAAGGAGAAATTATCCCAAGACATCAAGGAATCCTTGGACTTTAGCAATCTGCATGAGAGGCCAAACTTACAAGATTCTGAAACTACCAAGTCACCACTGGTAAATTTCTGTTATGTTTATCACATTACGAATTTTATAAGAAATTACTTAAGATTTCACATTGAAACAATACACTCTTAAATGTTACTTTCTATTGAAGTTAAAATGTGATCCTTATACTATTATGAGATAGTGGAAGAGTGACTCATATAGGAAAAAAAATGTAATGACTTACAGCACAAATTCTAATATGGTAAATGCCATTATAACAAATGGTTTCCTATGACAAATAATACTTCAAGGCCCACCTCATGAACCACAGTAAGAGTGCTGTTACTTTTCTAAATGAAATTCATTATTATGAATAATTTAGTATAATAAATCTTCTTTCTAGCTTTTTACTATAAAATAGTCACTGGTTTAATGAACTGTATGCTGATGTGTAGGTAGAACCAGTTTCTATTGCTTAATTTAAGTGTAAGGTAAAGCATTGAATTCTATCAGGAACATGGTTAGCATTTTTGAGTGTTTCTTCTTAGTGGAAAAAACAGTAAAGTAGCTCATTACTGCCTATTTTTTAAAAACTATATTTGAATCACTGTTTTATATACTAGAAATCTTAAGTAATTATGATTATTAATAATACAGTCTTTGGAAATTAGGCAAGTAACAAACATTTTTCACCCCTTTAAAGTCATTTGAAACAAATTTCAAAGGTGTCTAAATTCAAAGGGAACCCCCTCTGCCCCAAAAAGCATAAGAATAAATACTTGAGCTGCTGCTACTTATGCCTGGCAGATTAGATTTCTTGTCAGGTTTTATATCCATGTGGCTGAGAAATCGGAACTAAGACCTCTGCAAAAAGCTTAGGCCCCTAAAAGTCTGCTCAGTCACTGAAAGAATGTACTGGGAGAAATTCCCATGGATCTAACAAAATGAAAGAAAGTTGATTTCTGCTTGGGATCTGGGCTGTGTAAATATAATATGTTACCTGAAAAATGGAAATCTTTGGCTTTCATTTAGCATAGGCTTGGATTTTGAATATATACTTTTTGCCTGGAATATCCAAGCCTAGAAGTTAACATTAATGGCAATCCATTTCTAATGATACCCTGCTGCATCTGGTAGAAGTAAATCCCAATACTGCCTGTAAAGATATTCCCACAACTAAGCCAAAAATGGATTTCCAAAAATAAAGTCACACTACAGATGATCTTATCCTGCAAATGAAGAAACAATCAATCAAAGCATGATGTTTAACAAAACAAATAAGAACTCCAAAGGGGAGAGGTACTATACTGAAAATATTTAAAGACAGAAAAAAAAGAATAAAAAACATATAAAAGAATAAGGTACTAGCAACTGCTATATTTATAATAGAGCAATCAAAAAGTTGTAACATTCAAAATATAATCATTGAAATTATAATTAATTGGATAGATTAAACAACATATCATGTACAAATAGAGAATTAGTGACCTGGAAGATAGATTTAAAGAAATTACCTGTATTGTAGCAAAGATACATAAAGCATTGGAAAATATGAAAAAGGCATCTATTCCAGAGTTAATTGTATAGCACACAGCTTTAAGAGATAGAGATTGTATCTCTCTCCAAAGCAAAGGGAAGATTTGTTTACTGTCTAGTATAATGAAGATAATGTCTTCTGTGGCAAAGGTCAGGCAGGCTTACTGCCTGGTATAAAGTAATCAAGTTCCATACGCTTAGGTTTGAAAGGACCCCTGGTGGTGCAGTGGTTAAGCACTCAGCTGCTAACCAAAAGGTCTGTGATTCAAATCTACTAGTCACTCCGTGAGAGAAAGATGTGGTAGTCTGCCTCTGTAAAGAATATAGCCTTGAAAACTCTATGGGGCAGTTCTACCCTGTCCTATAGGGTTGCTATGAGTTGGAATTGACTCAATGGCAGTGAGTTTGGTTTTGGTTTAAAACTTAGGTTTCCTTTCTTATAGGACAGCCCACTGCATATACAGATGTTGCCTAGCCTTTTTCATGATGTTCTATAGAAATTGGGTTCTGGAGATTGTAGCAAATGCTGATACTCTGGCTACTTCTATTGCTGTGAGAAATAAAGTCCCTTTGTCTCTGACAAAGAAGTTTCATGTCTTCTTCCAGCATCCATGAGATTGTAGTGGGCTTGCAAGTAGGGTGAAAATCTGAGACCCTTTACTGCTCTTGATAGTAAATGGAAAGAGTAAAGTAAGCTGATAGAAAGAAATCCATTAAGTAGAATAAATGTAAACAGATTATATTGTCTAATTTGTGGTTAGAAACATTCCAAGTTTGGATATACAACAAAATCCATCTAGACGTTATTTACAAGAAATATACTTAAAGTATTAAAACATGTTTTAGAGTAATGATAAAAACTAAAAATAAATAAATAATAACTGTAATGAAGGAAAACACTGCCAGTGATAAAGAAGGTCATTATATATGGTAAAAGGAATTATTTACTATGAAGATTAAAAAAAAAAATTCAATGTGTATGTACCTACCAATAGAACCTCAGACATCTGTAGCAAAAACGGATAAAACTACATAAATAGCAGTGGAACTTTGATATAATGCCGGAAGATGGAAGGCACACAGGTTGGAAGGCACACAAAATACCAGTGGGGAAGAGCTGTCTCCTTTAAGTAGAGTCAACCTTGATGACATGGATGGAGTAAAGCTTTCAGGACCTTCGTTTGCTGATGTGGCAAGACTTAAAATGAGAAGAAACAGCTGCAGTCATCCATTAATAATTGGAATATGGGATATATGAAGTATGAATCTGGGAAGATTAAAAAGTCATCAAAAATGAAATGGAATGCATTAAGATTAATATCCGTTAGTGAGCTGAAATGGACTGGTATTGGCCATTTGGAATCAGACAGTCACATGGTCTAATATGCCAGGAATGACAAATTGAAGAGGAATGGTGTAGAATTCATTCTCAAGAACATTTCAAGATCTATCTGATGTACAGCACTGTCAGCAATAGGGTAATATCCATATGCCTGGAAGACCAGTTAATACCGCTGTTATTCAGATTTATGAACCAAACACTAAGGCCAAAGATGAGCAAGTTGTAGATTTTTACCAACTTCTGCAGTCTGAAATTGATCAAACATGCAGTAAAGATGCATTAATAATTATTGGTGATTGGAATGTGAAGGTTAGAAACAAAGACGAAAGATTGGTAGTTGGAAAATATGGCCTTGATGATAGAAACGACGCTGGAGATTGCGTGCTAGAATTTTGCAAGACCAACAACTTATTTGTTGCAAATACCTTTTTTCAACAATGTAAACAGTGACTAGACACATGGACCTCACCAGATGGAGTACCCTGGAATCAAATCGACTACATCTGTGGAAAGAGACGATGGAGAAGCTCAATATCATCAGTCAGAACAAGGCCAGGGGCTGACTGCAGAACAGACTATCAATTGCTCATATGCAAGTTCAAGTTGAAGCTGAAGAAAATTAGAACAAGTCTTTGAGAGCCAAAATATGACTTAGAGTATATCGCAGCTGAATTAGAGACCATCTCAAGAATAGATTGATGCAGTGAACACTAATGACCAAAGACCAGATAAGTTGTGAGATGATATCAAGGACATCATACATGACAAAGCAAAAGTTCATTGAAAAGAAAGGAAAGAAAAGACCAAAATGTATGTCAGAAGAGATTCTAAAACTTGCTCTTGAATGTAGAGAAACTAAAGCAAGTGGAAGAAATGATGAAGTAAAAAAGCTGAATAGAAGATTTTAAAGAGCCGCTCGAGAAGTAAAAGTAAAGTATTGTATTGAAATGTGTAAAGACCTGGAGTTAGAAAACAAGCTTGGCATTTCTCAATATGAAAAAACTGAAAAAAAAAAAAAATTCAAGCCTCGATTTGCAAGATTGAAGGATTTTATGGGTAAAATATTGAAAAACGCAGCAAACAAAAGAAGTTTGAAGGAATGTACAGAGTCACTATACCAAAAAAGAGCTGGTTAACATTCAGACAATTCAGGAGGTGGCATATGATCAAGAACCAATGATACTGAAGAAAGAAGTCCAAGCTGCACTGAAGGCATTGGCAAAAAACAAGGCTCCAGGAATTGACGGAATACCAACTGACATGTTTCAACAAACAAATGCAGCACTGGAGGTGCTCAATTGTCTATGCCAAGAAATTTGGAAGACAGCTACCTAGCCAACTGATTGGAAGAGATCCGTATTTATGCCTATTCCAAAGGAAGGTGATCCAACAGAATGTGGAAATTAATGAACAACATCATTAATATCCCATGCAAGAAAAATTTTGCTGAAGATCATTCAAAAGCAGCTGCAGCAGTACATCAACAGGGAATTGTGAGAAGTTCAAGCCGGATTCAGAGGAGGCTGTGGAATGAGGGATATCGTTGCTCATGTCGGGTGGATCTTGGCTGAAAGCAGAGAATGCCAGAAAGATGTTTACCTGTGTTTTATTGACTGTGCTAAGGCATTTGACTGTGTGGATCATAACAAAGTATGGATAAAATTGTGAAGAATGGGAATTCCAGAACACCTGTTGTGCTCATGAGGAACCTGTACATAGACCAAGAGGCAGTCATTTGAACAGAACATGGGGATACTGCATGGTTTAAAATCAGGAAAGGTGTGTGTCAGGGTTGTACTCTGTACGCTGAGCAAATAATTCGAGAAGCTGGACTATATGAAGAACGTGGCATCAGGATTGGAGGAAGACTCATTAACAATCTGTGATATGCAGATGACACAACCTTGCTTGCTGAAAGTGAGGAGGATTTGAAGCACTTACTGATGAAGATCAAAGACTACAGCCTTCAGTATGGATTACTTGTCAACATAAAGAAAACAAAAATCCTCACAACTGGACCAATAAGCAACATCATGCTGAATGGAGAAAAGTTTGAAGTTGTCAAGGATTGCATTTTACTTGGATCCACAATGCCAACAGCAACAGCACTTAAGAAGTAAAATGATGCATTGCATTGGGCAAATCTGTTGCAAAAGTCCTCTTTAAAGTGTTAAAAACAAAGATGTCACTTTGAGGACTAAGGTGCGCCTGACTCAAGCATTGTATTTTCAATTGCCTCATATGCATTCAAAAGCTGTACAGTGAATAAGGAAGACCAAAGAAGAATTGATGCCTTCGAATTATGGAGTTGGTGAGTAATGTTGACTATTCCATGGACTGGAGAAGATAGAACAAATCTGTCCTGGTAGAAGTACAGCCAGAATGCTTCTTAGAAGCTTGGATGGCAAGACTTCATCTCACATACTTTGAACATGTTATCAGGAGGGATCAGTCCCTGGAGAAGTACGTCATGCTGGCAAAGAGGAGGGTTGGTGAAAGAGAAGAAGATCTTCAATGAGATGGATTGACACAGTGCTGTAAGGATGGGCTCAAGCATAGCAATGATTGTGAGGATGGCACAGGACTAGGCAGTGTTTTGTTCTGTTGTACATAGGGTTGGTATGAGTTGGAACTGACTCGATGGCTTTTAACAACATTAAGTTGTGTAATCAAATTAGTGTTGTACATATCTCCGTAATAAATATTTTATAATATAAATGAAGTTAAAAAAAAAACTACTAATCATATTTTGATTCTTTATATTACTATTCTAAAAAGAAAGTGTGGTTTTTTAAAAGTGGTAAATGATTACATCATTGTGCATGTTGCTTTGTACAAATTAGGTGTTCAGTAGTAATTACTGAAATTCACTTAACAAACTTACTGGGGGTCTGTTAGAATTTTTTAGTATTATTCATCCAGATGAATCTGTCATAGGATTCTAAAGGAATCATCCATGGGCTAATGGGCTTTTAACTTGAAGATTGCCATTTTTATAAATATATTTTACAACTATATTTTGATCCATTTCAAGACAATTATATCTGAGGCTTAAAAAAAAAGTGTAAATACTTTCACAGAAATAGAGCTCCTCTACTTGGAATAGAATTTAAACTGAGTGTCAAAATTCTCCCTGAGCATCTTCCATGGGTGGCTACTCTGTTAAACTACTGAGTGAAGTTTTGGGGTCAGAGCTGGAGAGAATTCCAGTTGCTGCAAGAAGGCGACCGACAGGGCAGCCTATAAAATAAGAAGAGCTTTCCAAAGAGGCTGTCAGATGAAATGGGTGCTTTAGGGTTTGCAGACTGAATTCTTGTTTGTGGATAGTTAAGTGGCAGAATCTACTCTCTTTTCATCCCTAATGACTATTGTGAACTGTTTTTATTCTCTACCAATCCCTGAGCAGAAGCTGCTAAATGGAAATTTTTAGTAGTGGCATTTCTTGACATCCAAACTAAGTGCAAAACAGTTTATTTTGCACTTCTTTTTTTTTTTTCCAGGAATTGTTCATAAAGGTGGGACCTCCTATTGACTTACGTACTAAGTTGTAGGGCAGCAAGAAAAGTGGTGCAGTAGGGTTCTGGGACAAGCTTAGACTAGTCAGGGGGACTTGGTTCTGATTCTGAAATAACCAATAGTTAACTTCGTGTATTTGGGGAAAAAACAAAGCAAGAAAACATAACTACCCTCAGTTTCCTTATCTGTAAACTGAGGCTTTTAAAAATCCTTCTGGATTTGCAATTGTGTAGTCCAAATGTGAGCTCTACTAGAGCTGAAAGAGATCCTGTAAATTGGACCTTAAGCCTGGGGCAGCCAAGGAGGAAGTCCTAAGAAGTGGGCTTGTACTTGTCTTTGAAGGAGATGCTTTGTTGGTCACTAGCTTAGTGTTGAGATAGTTTCTCATTTATCTGATTTATACATTTCTACAGAGTTACAATAATTATTTTTACATTATTCAGTCCTATGAAACAGACTGTATTTGATCATTAATTAGATTAATTAGGGAATCGTTAAAATTTATAGCCCCTCTGATTATCTTTGAAGTTGATCTGGAGCTCTCACTTCTGAATCCCTAATATGTTTTATATTAGATTTCTATGTTTTTCAATCCCAGGTTTATTCTCCCCTAGAATAAGAGCATACAAAAAAATGAATTCATAGGGTAGCGGAATAAGCCTAGGCTTTAGATCAGCCAGATCTGTATTTAAAACCTTAACTCTACTAGCTATATAACTATATAAACTCCTTAGCTATATAAATTTCATAAATTACTTATATTTCCCTTGCTCCAGTTTCTTACTTGTGTATTTGCTTCATAATGAATGTTTTGTCAACTTGGATCTCGTCCGTGGCTATAGTCAGATTAGATTTATTCCCACTGGTATTTTACTGTCATCTTTGAAATTATCGTATGTATAGATGAAGACACTAGTTCAAAGACACTAGACAAAGACACAGTATATGAGTGAAACTCTGTATTTCAAGATAATTTATATGCAGAGACACTTGAGAGAAGAAAATAAGTGAAAGAAAGGAGAAAGAAAACTATTTTGTCTTATGAACTTCTGTCCTTACAGATTGATGATGATTCTCAGGTAATTACTGTAGTTGTGGTTTGTACGTTTTTCAGAATTTACTCTATATACACGTTATGTTATTATTTACGTCTCCATGACTAGAACCTAAACTTGATGAGGGCAGAATCCCTGCCAAGTACATAATAGGTGTGCAATGAATGAGTGTGCTTCTTTGAGTTGATGTGAGGGAAAATAAAATTTATTTTGTTGAATATTTTGTTTCCTAGTTGTTACAAGAAATAACCCTCAGAAGTAAACCTATAACTGACCATTATCAAGGACTTGAGAAATTCTTTATTTTTGGTAAAAATGAAAGACTCAACTTACTTCCTTCTCATAGCTTAGAATGCAGCTCTTGCAGTACCAGGAGTACACTTGCAGGTAAATTCAGATGTGAAATTAGATGACCTGTGAACCAACTTAATAATGTCTAACTCATTTATTTTTCTAACAATCCGTCCTCATCTTAGGAAATACTGGGCAATTCTATTCAATGAATAAAATCATTCTTCTTGTCTAGCTGAAATTATTAACCCTGTGTGAGTTGCCACGTATTTATATTTAGGCTATTATCAGAATATGAGAGGCATGGTGATAATGAAACAAGGGAGAGATCAATTTTAGAATTTAGAAATGTAGTCCTTACTAAACTGTAGAATAATAGGAACCCTCCAAATTACTTTATTAACTGTTGAGTATTACATGATGATTCTTAAATGCTTTATTAAAAACAATTCTCAAAGTCTCAGGATCTGTGAAGTTTCTAAGATGTATTGGTAATTTCCTTTTGAAAGCTAGGTCTTTGTGTCATCTCTTTCCTTAGATTTCCTGTGTTCAAATGTGTTTATCCATGTACAATTAAACCTTATACTGTTAAATACTTTTTAAAATATTTGTTTCTATTCAAAGACAGGTTTGTGTATAATATCTTTGCAATATAGATTTTATTTTTTATTTGTGATTAAGCTATGTGAATCTAATGTTTTTTATTGCATAATTATGAGATTTTGTATTTCATAGTACATAATTTACATTTCACTGTTATAAATTCTCATTCAGCTAAATATTCTTTAGTAAGGTGATAAATACAATAAACCCACAGCATAAATTTCCCTCCTTTTAAAGCTTTATATTATTTTTTCATTTTCCCATTTCAGGAGACAGAGAATGGATCCCAGACCATAGCTTAAGTGCATATGCTAATACGATGGTTGCCTTGGATGTCCAGCACAGTGCCTGGAACCTATCACCAGGTCGAACTCAGCAAAGGACAGGTAAGATTGGCTATGAGGCAGCAGAGCCATATTGATTGCTTACTTTGTTTATACTTGTTTCTTAGCAGTGTTCTACTAAACTAGTGCCATCGAGTCAATTCCAACTCATGGCAACCCTACGTGTGTCAGAATAGAACTGTGCAACATAGGATTTTCAATGGCTGATTTCTCAGAAGTAGATTGCTAGGTCTTTTTTCTAAGGCACCTCCGGGTAGACTCAAAATTGCCACCATTGCTGTTAGTAGTTGAGCATTTAAACATTTGCGCCACCCAGGTACTCCAAGTTTCCTACTAGGTACTTAAAAGTTAGTTCCTGCAGTTACGTAATTATTCACTTCACTAAATGTCCTAGACATTTCTATAAAAAACAGACAAAAACCAAGAGTAGTCATTATTCCTCTTAATAAACATGAATTATAGTCTTATTTTTTCTGTACCATGTATTAAGGAATAATATTTTTTAAATGTAGCTCAGGTTATGGTAGATTTTGAACAATTCTTATCTATACTCAATTTTATTACATTCTCAAGAAGCAGTTTATTTTCACTAAATTTTGCGTACTTTTCCACTAGGTCCATACTATGATCAGACAGACATTTGTGAAACAAATGGCTCAGGTTAGGATTACTGCTTGTAACTGTAATTAAGACAACTTAGTTCTAAACCTACTGCTCTATGTGTTAACCTTGGAACTTTGATTTCTGTTTATTTGCTAACCAAAATAATTGTAAGATTTCAACGTGATAACTCTTTTGACATGTGGAATCCTCGTTGTGCTGTTTTCCTAGTGAGTGCATGCAGAGAATTTTGACACCAGTAAAAGCAGTGATATTATTAGGTCACTAGCCTTGGTAGCGCAGTGGTTAAAGCGCTTGGCTGCTAACCAGAAGGTTGGTGGTTCCATCCCACCAGCAGACTGCCACATCTGCTTATGCAAAGATTTATAGCCTTGGAAACCTTATGCGGCAGTTCTACTCTGTCCTATAGGCTCACTATGAGTTGGAACTGACTCGACAGCAAAGATTTGGCTTGGGTTTGGATTGTTATTCATGATGAGCCCTGGTGGCACAGTGGTTAAGCACTTGGCTGGTAACCAAAAGGTCAGTGGTTCAAACCCAGCAGCTGCTCTATGGGAGAAACATGTGACAGCCTGCTTCTGTAAAGATTTACAACCTTGGAAACCTTATGGGGCAGTTCTACTCTGTCCTGTAGGGTCGCTGGGAATCGGAATTGACAGGACTGCAGTGGGTTTATTGTTATACATTAATACATGTTAACATAGGTTTGCTTTATGCCGAATTTCTCATGAAGTGTTAATAAGTAATGAATTAAGGCGATTCAACACATACATGTTGAGTATGCTAGCACTGTGCTAGTCGTTGGCAATAAAGGGTTGTGTAAGTCATGTTCCCTGGTCTTAAGGAACTTATGGTTTAGGAAAAATACTTCATAAAGTGAGCTCTTTGCCTAGGTGAAAAGGCTAGCTTCAAGCCAGAAATTTAATTGTATATATACGATTCCTCTATGTATGTAACATTTATGTATCTCTCATCCTAAACCCTATGATTAAAACTCCTGAACTAACTTAGGTCCTTTCCACATGCATTTATGTTGAGAATCTGTCAGATACAATTTTTTTAGTGGAAAAAATATCCATTTATGATAAATGTTTCTTGGGTCTATAATTAGGTATCCTCAAATCAAAGTCTAGAAAAGCTTCAAAAATTCTGGTTGCTTCTTCCAGAAGCAATGAGAAGGAACTGTTTTACGTCAGTACTGACGAAAACAAAATCATGTGTATGCTATGAGAAATTTGTTACTAAGACAAATCTTTATAAATAAGTAGACAAATGCATTTAAATATCAGTTTGGGAAGATCAGTTGCAATCAATGATTAATATAAAAAATTTTTGCTCGAGCACCTACTTTAGGCCAGGCATGGTCAGACACTGGTGACACACAATAAACCCCCATCTCTGTTGTTCAAGAGCTTACAGTCCAATTCAGAGGTTCTTCAGTGTCAGTGTGCACGTAATCACACAGGATCGTTATGTGCAGGGAATACTGTTATAACGCAAATTCGTGAACGTCAGTCTTTGAGATTCTGATTCCTTAAGACTGAGGGATTTGCATTTATGTTATCAACAACTTCATGTTATTCTGATGTAGATAGCTCAGAAATCATACTTTGAGAAAACTGCTGCATACATGCAAACACATAAATGACACCATACACTATATGATAAATTTTATAAAAGGACTGTGAGTAATCCACCTTTGGAGGTGGATGGGTAATTAAAAATAGTACATGCCATCAGCTATAATGGAGGTACATATGCAGTCATTTAGGAATAGGGATAATAAAAGAATTATTTTGCCATTGAAAACTGTAGATATGGAAGGTGTTAGAGACTAGGTGACCTTTCAGCTGATTCTTAAAAAATTAATAAGATTTTACCAGTCAGGGAAAGAAGGAAATGGATTTCTGGACAGAAGTAGTGGCATAAAATGAAACAAAACTTTCTTTACCATGCCGCAGGTCATAGGACACTTATATTCTGAACTGATGCTGATATATTAAAGGAATTCCAGTTTCCTTAAGATTTTAAATTTGTGAATGTAAAAGCATGGTAATTATAAAAGACTCATATGTAGTGTCTTAGACATCTAGGGCTGCTACAACAGAAATACCACAAGTGGATGGCTTTAACAAAGAGAAGTTTATTTCTTCACAGTAAAGTAGCTGATTCAGGGCATCAGCTACAGGGGAGGCCTTTCTCTCTCTGTTGGACTTCTCATCAATGTTCCCCCAAAGGTCCAAAGGATGAACTGCCCCCAGCATTGCTTTCTTGATGGTATGAGGTCCCCCTGTCTCACTGCTCACTCCTGTCTTTTATATCTCAAGAGATTGCCTCAGGACACAATCCAGTCTTGTAAATTGAGTCCTGCCTCACTAACACAACTGCCACCCATCCTCCTTCATTGACATCATAGAGGCAGGATTTACAACACATAGGAAAATCACACAATACTGAGAATCATGGCCCAGCCAAACTGATAAACACATTTTTGGGGGGACGTAATTCAATCTATGACATATAGTGAGTACTTATAACTATCATTGATTCCAAACTCCCCTCCCCCCATCAATACTGACTCCTCCCCCAACTCATCTTCCAGCCTCTGTAAATGGCAACACCATCCAAATATTGATTAAGTCTGAAATCTGGGAGTCGTCTTGACTCACCCACCACCTTCTTTTCATCTTTAGATCCTGTTGATTTCAGCATCGTAATCTGTCCCCATTCCAACCACTTCTGTGTTCATTGTTCCATTTTGACTCCAAGTCCATTATCTCTCACTTGTCTTCCAACTTCACCCCTCCCCAAAACATGCTGACATGTTTAATTTCCCACAAATCCCACTGTTTATAGTCATTGAGTGATTTGTTTCTATTTATAGTCAGGGAGTGAATCACATTTTCCATCTTCTTAAACCATAAATTGTATCCTGTATCCTACTGTTTCCTACAGCATTCATTCATCACACAGCAGTACCTAAGCTTGTCCTGCCCGTTCTCTTAACTTCATTTTCTCCTATGCTGACTTCCTTTCTGTTTTTTTGACAAGCTGCTTTTCTTACTCACTTCTTAGCCTTAGAATTTGTTCTTCCTTCTGATCTGGGATGCTCTGCAGCCTCCTCCCCCACCCCATAGCCTTCTTCATATGATCAGTTCTTTCCCATTATTTAATCACAGCCCAGATGCCTTCTCCCTAGAGAGGACTTCTGAAACCAACCCCCCCCCCCATCTAATAGTAGTGTCTTCAGTCCTTCTATCATATTTACCTTCTTTATCTTCCTCATAGCACCCATATTACATTATCTTACTTGTTTATTTTCTGTTTTCCCCCACCCCCTTTTGGAAAGAAAGCAAGGACCTAGCCTGTCCTGTTGATGAATGCATTCTCAGTTACAGAACAGGCACATTGCAAGTGCTCACTAAGTGTTTCTGAACCAGTGAAGCAGGATAGGAGGACTATATGTTAGTTTGCATTACAACTTGAGGGTAGGGGCAATGTCTCTTTCACTTTCGAATACACGGATCCAGACATAGTGCCTGGCAGTTTTAGGAACTGATAAATGCTCTTATAGCTGAATTGGATTGGTATTGATTCATAGGTTCTCAGGCTGGTGGGAATTTCAGACATCATCCTGTCCAACTTCCTAATTTTCCAAGTGAGATATGAATTGACATTTTCCAGGTCACAAGCTGATTTCTGTTTAGTGAAACTAGACAGTAAGGCTCTTGCTTCCCTTTCTAGCATTGTTTCCACTAAAACATCCTGCTAAATAAAATTTCCATATATGTGTCAAAAACTGTATTTCTATTTCTTTTCTGTGTAAATTCTCTGAATTTACACAGGATGTCAAGAATGTCAATAGACAATAGTGTTTTACAACATCTATTCAGAAGTAAATATTGGGCTCTTTGACTAGAATGTTATTTCTTTTAAAAATGTTGTCCAAAAAACATGTTGCAATGATTATTTCCCATCAAATTCTGATGTTTATCATTTAGAATAGTAGTAACAATTAGTATTGTATTAAACACTGTTCTGTGAGTGATTTCGGTTTTCTGTGACATTATCAGCATTCTTATGCCCTTCAGTATAACCCAAAGACACCACTGTATTTTATCTTCCAATATATGGTGTGATTTCATCAGTAATAATAGAACATATATTGTTTAGCTAACATCAACAACTGTTATATTTAGAGTATAACTATGATCAGGGCTAATTAATAGTTTCTTAAGATTATATTGCCAGTTGCAGTGCAAGTTACTCTACAAGTATGTTTCTCATGTTTATAATCTACAAACTGGACTATTATTTTTTTATTATGGAATGATCCCTTCAATTGTGACATTTTAATTGGTGCTAGTTGTAACTGTGTATCAAATCTTAACTCTAGTAATAACATTAATAAGTTTATATATTAAACATTAGAGGCAATAACATACTGACCTAAATGAACAACAAATAAATTAATTAAGGACCAAATTGGGACCTCTGCTGTATCTGTGTTTTAGTTACATTAAAATCTGAACATATTTCCAGTAATAAAAGTAACCTGTCCACTCACTGTGTGCTAAGCATGAGTCCAGTCAATCCCCTGTATAAATATTTTTTCAAATAAGATCATTAAAATCTGAACATATTTCCAGTAATAAAAGTAACCTGTCCACTCACTGTGTGCTAAGCATGAGTCCAGTCAATCCCCTGTATAAATATTTTTTCAAATAAGATCAATTACCCTCAAATACTGTGGCAACCAGCTGTTGTTGTAAGATTTCAGCAAGTGTTTGTACTCTTCTGTATTTTCTGAAGGGCATCTACATTATGTTAAATTTTTCTCACCTCATATTTGTCAGGATTGGAAGAAGTCCAGCCTTTAGTTTCCTTGCTAATAAAATTTTCCTTTTTGTTGATTTCAATAAAAAATGCTAAATGCCTTTGAATTTTACCTTGACTGAGATATAGCTCAGTACCTTTTAAAGCAGAAACAAGAGTATCGTTTTCTCCATAGACCTAGTCTGTAGATTTATATAGCTGAATTACTGTTATACTCACCTGTGCTGCTACTATTGTTATTACACTAGAATGGCATGGTATTCTTTATAAGTTCATTAATTATTTCATCTTCCTTAATTCAAACATTTTCTGAACTGGGCAAAAAAAAGTCACTATTCCAACTTTTGGGACAAAGAACTGGGACTTAAATAGATAAATTGGTTCACCCAAGTTCACACACATAGTAAATGATAGAACTGGAGTAGAATTTTTCTGGTATCATTCATTCAGCTTTTCACTACTCTTATCTCCTTCTCTTAACTATGATTATAGAAATATTTTATTGTTTTTCTTGATGGCTATGGATAAAATGGAGCCCTGGTGGCACAGTGGTTAAGAGCTCAGCTGCTAACCAAAAAAGGTAAGCAGTTCGACTCTACCAGCCACTCCTTGGAAACCCTATGAGGCAGTTCTGCTCTGTCCTATAGAGTCACTATGAGTCAGAATCAACTTGACGGCAACAGATTTGTTTGTTTGTTTTATGAATACAATATTGACTCTTTACATATTACAGATAAAAGGGGAAATCATTTTCAAATTCTAGCCACCAAAATACTTCTTCGGGATATTTATTTTTTCTTAAAACATAGGCACATTTTGCTAGTTACTTTTCTTCAGAATTGTCTGTGAGCACAAAGAGACGCAAAAGGTTAGAATCTTAATTTATTCATAATTTCATTCCAACAAAAATTGTTTTAAAAATTTATTTCTAAAATGTTCATTAAAATTGGTGCCCTTTGGGACTTACCTTAGTTAGTTTTAATTGCTTAAATAATTACATACTGCATTAAGATTCTTCTTAGGGTACTAGTTACATTCAGAGTAGATCTTTTAAGTTAAAAAAGAAAAGACAAACTCAATGGTCATTAAATGTTAAATACACAGCAACTGCCTGTATCTATTCTTCTGAATTTTACATTTTCCTTTGAGCTAAAAGAGTGGGCATAATGTTATATGACATCTGTTCAGACAAATCATGATTTTTATGATAATGATAACAGCACTACTTTAAAAGAATTCAATATTTTGAACAAAGCCAGTTTGTGTTAAGGGAATGCAAAGTTATCTTCTAATGTAAATTATTTATTTTTAGTATAATTACATTTATATAAATCAAAACAGTGGTTCAGTACATTTAAAAATTTACCTGTGGTGTGAATTTCTGAATCTGTACCTTAAAAATTGTCTTGACCTTTATTAAGGAATGTTTTGTGAGCAATGACAAATTATAAATTAGTTATGTTCTGTTGGTATACGATTGGAAGTGTATTTTTTTCCCTGCTATGAAATGACATGCTAACGTAACGAACAAAATGAATTTTTAAAATTGATTAATACAAAGTGGTGACTACCCTAGTTGAACAGAGTAATAACTTAGATCTGGGCTCCTGGAACTTTTCCGCTAAAGTGCTCTATAAGCAGAAGGTAGTGAACTCACATTTAGGCAGATTAGAGACGTGATCTCAATTTCTTTAAAGCCTTTGTTTTTCTAAAAATTCAAACAGATTTTGCATACTAGTCTATTTTGCTTCCATATTTGTTTTAATATAAAAATAAGTTACCTGCCATCAAGTGGAATTGTTACTCTAGGAAGTGGCACCATGTTTACTGCATGAGTTTTTTTTCACATTCAAGGCACAGCACAGAGTCGCCCTAGAATTTAAGAAACACAGCACACCACTTGGCCTTGGGATGCGTTATAATATTGGGTGTTGGTTTAGTCTGGAATTGACTTGGTTTACAGATGTTTTACTTTAATTAATATTAAAATCAGTTTCTTATTGTCTGAATGCAGAAAAATTAGGAGAAATCAACCCAGAAGTGTTCTTTATGAGAACAGGAAGAGTAATTTGGAATTAAAAGGTTGTAGTAAATAAAAATGGATGATCCACTTTTAGATAATCTGAAGTTGATTTTCTAGTCAACTCTGTTACATGAACTTAACTGCTCTAAGTGCGGGCAGGGTGCCGGTATTTTGTATCTTTAAGCATTCATTCAGAATTTTTTAAAAAAATCATTCTATATTTAAAATTTCTACTTTGCATTTTAGGCCAAACATCACAGAGACCTTCAACAGTAAATTTACCACTTTCCAACTCTGTTAAAAAAAGCTCCAGCTGCTTTTCTTCCTCTCATCTGCGACCAAGAAGTGCAGCTGCTCGATCATTATCTAGAGCTGCTTCTGAAATTTCAGAAATTGAATATATTGATGTTACTGACCACAATGAGCCTTTCTTAGACAACACTGCTGATCAGCAAGCCTTAGACAGTTTGGAAAAGGAATTAAACGAGCTGAGAAATCTCGCAGGTAATGCTTCTTTTTTTTTTAATATTAACCAGTAAAAACCAGTTGCCGTCTAATTGATTCTGACTCATGGAACCCCCATGTGTAGACAGGGTTAACTCCACCTTCTGCCTGATTCTTCATATCTTAGTCCAAGAAAACAAGGAAACAGACAAAAAAATCTTTACTTTTTTTCTTTAACCACCAAACTTTGTGTCTGTTTTCTTAGATATTCCCCTATATCCATCCTGAAAATGTTATGAAACATGTGGATGCTCAGCCACACCAGAGATGGTCTCACTTAGCCCATATAATACACAGTTAAATTGTGGTATAATGACCTTCATGAGCGCAGAAAAGAAAACAACAACAACAAAAAATCTTTCCACAAACCCAAACCAAAAAATAACCACTGCCGTCAAGTTGATTCCAACTCATAGCCACCCTAAAGGACGGCATAGAAGTGCCCCATAGCATTTCCAAGGTTGTAAATCTTTAAGGAAGCAGACTGCCACATTTTTCTCCCATGAAGCAGAATGGTGAGTTCAAAACACCAGCCTTTTAGTTAGCAGCCAAGTGCTAAACTACTGTTCCACCAGGGCTCCTCTTCACAAACTCCAAAAAGACCAAACCCACTGCCATTGAGATGACCCCATAGGGTTTCCAAGGCTGTAAATCTCTAAGGAAGTGGACTGCCACATCTTTATCCACTGGTGGTTTTGAACTGCCAACCTTTCAGTTAGCAGTCCATCACTTTAACCACTGTACCACCAGGGCTCCTTTCTACAAACCCACTGGGTGGTTAATCTCTGTAACTTTATGAAAGCCAGCTGTCCAGCCCCCTTGTTGAAGAATTGAGCTGTTACATCTTTCAAAGCAGTGCTTCTGATACTTTAATGTGCATACATCACCTGTGGATCCACTTTGGAATGCAGATTCTGATTCAGTAGGTCTGGGACAGGGCCAGACCTGGCAAATACACAGATGATGCCATTGCTGCTGGTTGGCTGACCACAGTTTGAGGATAAATTTATACTTGTGCATTCTATTTCCTAAACTGCAATGGGTATTAGTCTAACAAATATTATCCCTATTCTAGAACATGCAAAGGGCTGGTTCTATAACAAAATAACAGGGGAAATAATCTCATTTTCATCAGAAATCCGTTCACACAGTTTGTTAGAAGACAGTTGCAGTTACAACAGGCAGACTGGGAAGTTTTCTGGGTTTCTATATTCTGCACTTGTTCCTCCTTTGTTTTTTTAATATTAGTGACATCCACCTTTATTTCACCTTAGAATGACAATTTTGCTATTTTTCTAAAAATGAAACATCTTGGTTTTGAAAATTTAAGCACTACAAAAAAGAAAGCCAAAAGAAAAAAAAATCTTATTACCCTGAAAATAACCATTATTAACATTTGATGAGCATCATTTTAAGTATTTGTCTATTTATGTCATAAGTGCACATATAAAATATATAGTTAGAAGGAAGAATAGATTGAAGAAAGATGAAGATGGTAATTTATAAAAAGAGATTTATACTTTGCAAAATACTTGAATAAAATTATTAAATACACATTTACCCAACTTAACAGAAGAAAAATTGAAACGAAACTAAAGGCAATCATATAATTCAGATAAACATTTTTTTCACCACAAACATATTAAGTTGAACCATGTGAAATTACTTTTTTTGTAGCCCTCAAACAGAGGAATATTGGCAATTCTTATAGTCCAAACTGAATTTTTTATTTTTTATTTTATTTTATTTTTTATTTTTTTATTTTTATTATATTTTATTGTACTTCAGGTGAAGGCTTACAGAACAAATAGTTTCTCATGAAACAGTAATACACATATTGTTTTATGACATTGGTTAACAACCCCACAACATATTAACCCTCTAACTTCTCAACCTTTTTTTTTTTTTTTTGGTGAAAATACACATAACCAAAGATACACCATTTCAAAAATTTCAACATACACAGTTCGGTGACTACGCTCTTCCAGTTGTGCTGTTATTCTCACTTAAGATGAAGGCTTACAGAACAAAAGAGTTTCTCATTTAACAGTTACTACAAATGTTGCCCTATGACAGTGGTTAACAATCTCACAACACATCAACAATATCCTTACTCAACCTTGTTACGGGGCTGTCCACTCCCAGGCTGAACAGTGAACCTCGGAGGTAACTTCACCACTGAGCTAAAAGGGAGTCTGGGGGCCGTACTCTCGAGGTTTCTCCAGTCTCCTTTAGGCCAGTAAATCTGGTCTTTTTTTTTGTGAGTTAGAATTATGCTCTACATCCTTCTCCAGCTCTGTCCAGAACCCTGTCTTGTGATCCTGGTCAGAGCAGTCAGTGGTGGTAGCCGGGCACCATCTAGCTGTACTGGACTCAGTCCGGTGGAGGCCTTGGTAGCTGTGGACAATTAGTCCTTCGGACTAATCTTTACCTTGTATCCTGTTCTCTTCATTCTCCCTTGCTCCAGAACGGATGAGACCAGTGGAGTATCTTAGATGGCCGCTCACAGACTTTTAAGACCCCAGACACTACTCACCAAGGTAGAATGTAGACCATTGTCTTTATAAGCTGTGCCATGTCAATTGAGCTAGATGTTCCCTGAGACCATGGTCCTCACAGCCCTCCGCCCAGCAATTCAGTCCCTCAGGGACAAACTGAAATTTTTTGAAAGATCACTTTAAAAATTAAGGAAAGAAGTCAAAAGAAGCAGGAAGGAGTTGAGGTCATTTTTAACTATGTGTTTTCATTTCAGAGAGTGATGATTAAATCCCTATAATAAAAGATGAGGATTTATTTGTTGGTTAATATTTTTTAACCACATAAAATTCTAGATAGTATAGTTATAATTATTTTTATTTTGTTAAGGTTTCCTTTTATTTTCTTCCTCTTAGTGAAAATTCATATGGATTAAATGCTCAATACCAGTGTATTTATTGTAACTTCCCAATCTTGAGCCTTTTATTCTGAATCCTTTCTAGAAGGTTTGATTATGACATTCTTGAGAATGTCTGTATTTTTTCTTTGTTTTATTGGTGTGCTGTCTAGATTTATTTAGTGGATCATTATTTCTATTCCTCTGTACTTGGTAGACATTTCTCCAAGGTCTTCTGACCCTGAATATGGTGCTAGTTAGTTCTTTATGACAGTTTTTCAATTTAACTTTTGTTTGAATGAATTAAATTGTCAGTTGCTTCTTTTTCCCCCAGGTAAGGCTCATGGAAGGAGCCCTAGTGGTGCAGTGGTTAAGTGCTCAGCTGCTAACTGAAAGGTTGGCAGTTTGAACCCACGAGCTTGAACCCACGAGTTTGAACTCAGGAGAAAGACGTGGCATTCTGTTTCCATAAAGATTTACAGCCTTGGAAACCCAATGGGACAATTCTGTTCTGACCTACAGGGTCAATATGAGTCAGAATTGACTTGATGGCAATGGGTGGGAAGGCTCATGGAAGCCTGGTGGCACAGATGATTAAGCACTCAGCTACTAAATGAAAGGTTGGCAGTTCGAACCCACTTAGAGGAGCCTCATAATTAGGGCCTGGCAGTCTGCTTCTGAAAGGTCACATCCATGAAAACTCTATGAACCATAGTTCTACTCTTGTAACACATGGTGTCGTGATGAGTTGAAATCGACTTGATGGCACCTGTTTTTTGATTAGGGTTCATTGTAGCTCTATTACCTAGGTTCTTTCAGTTTGAGAATGTGTTTTACTTTTATATTTGAATGGCAAATTGACTGAGAGTAATGGAGTATTCTCAGGTCGCTTTTCTCTTGGACTTTGTACATACTGATTTATCATTTTTCTGGTTTTTCATTCTGCTGTGATGTAGTCTAAACCACTCCCACCACAAAAAAACAAAAAAAAAAATCATTGCCATCGAGTCGATTCTAACTCGTAGTGACCCTATAGAACAAAAATAGAACCACCCCATAGAGTTTCCAAGGAGTGTGTAGTATTTGAACTACAGACCCTTTGGTTACCAACCGTAGCTATTAATCACTATAGTACCAGGGTTTCTAAGTAGTCTAAGACCACCATGATTTTTATGTGTCACCTTCTTTCCTGATTGGATGCTTGAAGAATTTTTTTCTTAATCCTTGACATTCAGTAACTTGACCAGGATTGTGTTTCAATTTCAATAATTCATCAATTTCTAAAACAGGGTTCTCTTCCCATCCACAGAATAAGTTCCTTCTTATTCTCTGAGAAATTTTCTGCTATTGTATTTTTGAATTGCTCTTCTGTTCTACTTGACTTTCTCTTGCCGAGAAACCATTTTCTGTAAGTTGGATCCTCTTTGTACAATGTATTTACTTATGTTTTCTTCATTTGTTTAAAACAGTTTATATTTTCCTTGCATTTGCTGTGATAATCTGGTTTGTCCTTTGCATTAGGATCTTAATTTTTCACTGGGCTTTATTATTTTGTATTCTTAATTAGTTCTCTAATAGTGTTGCTTTGGCTTTTTTTTTTTTTTTTGTAATTTTTTTATTTTGATATAGTTTTCAAACTTATAGAAAATTTGCAACAATAGTATAAGGAACTCCTGTATACCTTTTACTCAGTTTACCACTTATCTTTTGCCTCATTTGCTTTTCATTTATTCTCTCTTTCTTCTCTCTGTCTATACACACAATGTTTTTGTTTGTTTTTTGAACCATCTGAGACGATGTTAGAAACATCACATTCCTTTACCAACCAATAGTAAATTTTTCGTGTGTTTCCCAAGAACAAGGACATTCTCCTACATGAGACCACAGTAAAATGATCAAAATCAGGAAATTTAACGTTGATAGAATACTATTATCTAATCCACTGCCCATAATTAATTTTCTTCAGTTGTCCCAATAATGTCCATTACAGCTTTTTCTTTTTCTTCTGATCTAGAACCCAGTCCAGGAACAGGTGACCATTCAATTTTTTCCCTTAGTTTTGTTATCTCCCTTTTGAGTTTTGACATTTTGTTATTTTATCTGTAAGATTAATTTTTGCACTTTTTGA